TGCGGAGCATTCTGAGATGTACTTACTCTTTTTTTTTTTTTGTTAACTTAGTGGTGTTTAACTGAGCTACTGTGGAAGGAACAGAAGTATTTTTCAAGTAAACAGAATTCAAAAATTTTACTAAAATAAAATACAATTGCAAATTATATTTTAAATTTAATTAAAATATAAACCCTACAAAACCATCTTCTCCAGACTAGGATATGAATCATATATTGCCATTGTAGTAACAGATCAAAGAAATTAAGGAGTCTTTCACTGAACAAGCCATTTCAAGTAGATTGAAAAATGTCCCAGAGAGTATTAAACATGATCCTCCAATAGGTGGAGTTTGGATGACTATGCTGAGAATTCCCTTGCATGTTTTGTCTGGAAAACTGTACTGGAGATGAAAGCCTAGATTACATCATACATGTACTGCAAATGTTAAGAAGAAAATAGAAAACTATGGATAGGGCAGCTAGAGTCCTTGCATAAGCCAAAAGATACATAGAAAAGTAACTCAAATTTTTGAGCTTCGAAATTGTGTTGTCAGAAAACATGTAAAGAATATATGGGATATATGACTCTCACTTCTTGCTTTAATCATTACATCTTACTGTTACTTTCAAGTCCTCTTAATGTTCTAATTTCCTCTATTTTTTTTCCAAAGTTTTCCTATTGTTACATAAGATTTAGTTTCCAATGTTCTCATAAATGACAGACTTTATTTTCCTCTTTCTTATTTTACAAAGGATAGCCATAAAAACCTCATGATGATGTCATCATTTCAGTGTCTCCTCCTCATTCTAAAATTCCTTACCTCACTGGAATTACAGTATAGGAAAGATTTCACCTATGAAAGTCAGTCAGGGTTCACTGATTTATCCCTTTAGAGAGCACTCCAATTAAGAGAATCTAGGTGTAAGTTATAAATGCATGAAAGCATGGACTAAACCAAAGAAAAAATAAACACAATATTTTGTTTAAAAGATCAAGAAAATAATGACTTATTGAAGCAAATAGCATGTAGCTATTGAAGTACAGACCTCATTTGTCTTAATAGAGTTCTTAATACTGAAAAAACTTTCCCAGACTCCTTCAAGCCAGCATTAGCATTTTGTTAAAATATTACTTGACCATTTGCGCAAAACTTTTGTAACTTTTTTATTTTTCAAGGTTTCAATTGTTTAGTGTGCATTAAGCCTTAAACACTACTTGTGATTAAATGTGATAAACAAACAAAAAAAAATACTTTCCTTATTTCTAGTCATACACTGCATGTTTGAAGCTGACCTATTACACCCTGATTATTTCTCATTCTAAGCCCTTAAGTGGGGAGCAGCCAATGAAGTTGTTCTCAATCCAAAGCTCTTCTGCCCTGCTGTGCTCTTCTGGCCACAAACTACACACAACCAGTGTTTCCATGGGGCACCACTACAGAGTGAGGCTGCAGGTCCAACAGAAATTGCAGATTTACTGAGTAGGTTTCCCAGAACTTCCCCAGGCCCATCACCTGTTCATGAACTCTTGCTGTTTCAGTAGCGATGTCTCATAAAATACATATAATACCACCTCCATAATAAAATACCTGCCACTACCTCCATACTAACTGTAGATTGTATTTTAGATGCAAGTTTGAAATGGGATTTCTTTTGGCAACACATGCACAAATGAGAAGAAGATGCATCAAATAGTTCTACACAGAAACTGAAGTCTAACTCTTCTTACTGTGTCTTAAAGATAAAGATAAATTATTTCTTCATTTACTTCTTTTGGTACAAAATTGCAAGCTAGCTCCTAACATTTCTTAGACCTTCACTACCTGGACTTAGAAAAAAAGTGAAAATTTTAAAAATGCTGTACTTAGACCATGTGAAAGATGGAATACAAACTTTAGAGAAGGGTGAATACGTTGAAAATATTTTCCATTCTCTTCATTGCAAAGACTACAGTAATGGTCATATCTGACATATAAGAGCTTATAACAGCTGTTATGAAATATTTTAACAAGACTACGAAGCTAGTACAACTAAATGCAATATTCATTTGGTTGTCTTTTCTCTAATGCTGTGATTAACCTATAATGCCATCAGTGGGAACAGGGAATCTTAAAACCATTACATATAATTTTTAATGCATTAGAATATTTTAGCAAAAATACAATTACTGTAACCATTTCCATACATTTAGCCCTTTTCATAGTAAAATAAAATGTCTGTCCTATATGATGAATTGAATGGAATTTACTTGCTTTGTTTTTCACATGTTATTTCTGCATATGGCAAGATCTGTAAGACTTGATGACAATTCCAGAAAGAAAATGGATTGCACTTTGTATTTGTACAGGACAGCAGGCAAACATCTTCAAACTCCATCAGACAAACTGAAGAATAGTTCATGCTTTCTCATGAGCCCACTAGAAAGTGATAGCTCATGATCAAGATCACAATTTTTTTTGTACAATTTTTTTTACATCACACAATATCCACAATGTGGACATCTGCAAGAGAAATTTCGTTAGTGCTTTAGTGGTGCTCTGCCATGTAAGAGACCCAGGTTTTGCTCTTAACACTGTAATCTCTGGAGTAGTAATAGACTGCATTGGCAAATGATTTGAGCATCAGAACAAGAGAGCACAACACTCCTCTCACTTTATTACAGAGCTTAGTTCAAAATTTAAACTGTAATGTTCTCTAACTCTGGCATTTAATTAATCTACAAAAGTACTGAGTTTCTTATAGAAGCAGGAAGGAGTCAGAAATAATCTATGTGTTTCCAAGGAGGACAGGAATGATGCTGGGAAAATCATAACTAATATGGTTTCCACGTAACACACATACACTCACCCAACCAAACACAACAAAATGCTTTTTTGTTATCCTTATTATGAGCAAGCAGGAATATCTGATATTTTTTTTGATGAGCCAATAAAACCAGATTAATACTCAGTAACAATATGTATATTATTTAAAAGAGTCACTGATATAATTTTGCATTACTCCATAGTGAAATAAAGACTGTCACTGACCCAGCGTCCCACTTGGCAATAACTATAGCTTTTTTTCTTAAAGGGCTGCTATGCACAATCTTTAGGAGTTAGTAAAAACTACCTGTTTATCAAATCATGGTGACCATAAGTACTTTCACAAATACTGGTTAGAGAGTAGCCATACATTTTAAACATAAACCTGTTGATTACAGATGGTCCAGATTTACGTTTCCAGGAAAGAATTTTCTTCAGTTTTGAGATAAGCATTGGTCATGAACAAAATGTTACTAGCCAGATGGGCAAAGTACAAATAGGAATGTGTTTCTGTACAGATTCTATCATAATGCTTGAAAGAAATCACCAATTAAATGCTCTGACGCACTTTGAAGAAACAGGCAAAGCTAGGAAACACTTAAACATTTTAGAGTCAGGTCCATCTATCCTCTATTAAAATTAACTTAATGTAGACATCATTTTTCATGTAGTACATCAAAGGATAATGTCTTTCTGAATGTTTCTTTGAGATTATTATAGAACTTTGGGTTCATTCTGTATTATACTTGTCAGACTCCTTGCAGGGTGTGATTCATTGTTACCTATCATCTCCACTGTGTCCTCTTTAAACCACACCTGTTCACACGATATTCACGTGCAACCCTGAGAACTGTGCATCCAACAAAAGATATTTACCCCCTCAACCTAGCAGAAACTCCTTCTTAAATTTACAGAATAGAAGTATACTGTTCAGTAGGGTCTTCATCTTGCACGCATACTAGAAAGCTCCAAAGAGATTTTGATAAGAATTAAGAACATTATTTACCTGGAACAGGACCCTGAAAACTCAAAGTAAGGATGGTTAAGGAAGAAAAGAGGTGAAAAGACATTGAAAGATTATAGATATGATTCTTTTCACTAATCTAAATAATCTTAAAATGCTTCTATTCAGTTGCCAATGCATGAAGCAGTTTAATTTGGCAGAACTTCTACTTGGAAGAACACAGCGTCCTGAAGCTGGTTTTCTTATGCAAAGACTTCCTTTTAGCTTTCAGCATGCAAGGTATACGCCATTCCTATACCAATAAGCTAAATCCAGAGAAAGTATATAAACAGAAAGTAAAAGGATGTACCTTTTCTACTGGAAAAAAGTTTGAGTTTAAATTAATGTAAACTTCTTACTCTACAGGGATTCTAATTATCATGCAAATTAGAGTAACCTATACTCTCCTCTGATTTGGCTAAGTTTGTTCTTTCAACTTTTTAAAACCAAAATCTTTGGACTTCTTCCTGTGAGTTATTCTGTTAACAGACTTCATTATGCACATAGCGATAAAGCTCTGAATATAGGTATTCTAGATAGCTAAACATATTTCATATTTTTGCCTAGGGGTACCAGAACAATGGAAGTGGAAACCACTAGCTTTGATATAAAGATAATTTTCTTATTGATAGTTCTATAAAACAAAAAAAACCAGAACAAACGTTTCAGCTTTATCTAATAAATTCAGTGATAACCAAAACTCCTTGCAAAACTTCCTGGCATTGTGAAACACATCTTGCAATATAATAGACATAACTGACAACACCATTAGAAGGAATGATCTTAATCCTACATTAAAAGTCAAACACCCTTGTTTGACAGTATACTGCTTACAGCAGTAACTAAAACGAAAACTATGCTATTCTTCAGTAATGATCCAAAATTGTTTAATTATTCTCTTTAAAGCAATTGTGTTTTGGACCATCACAGTAGAATATCATAAGAATTTTAACAAGCTTTTCATGTTTAAAGCCATAGTAAAAATGAGCTATATCCAAGTACAGAAAAAACCAATATTTTATTTATAATCTTATTTTAGTGTTTGAACTACAAATTCTGGTTCTAGAATTGTTTAAAAGATCATGGGTTTTATAACTTTTCACAAGTAAATTAATTTCTTGGGGTTTTTTTGTTTGTTTTTGGTTTTTTTACTTCCATTTTTTCACAGAATGGTACTTTTGGTAAATACAAAGCAAATCATTACATGAGAAAAAAAAATGGATTCTTTGTTTTTTTCACTTGTAAAGTTGCTGTTAATATTCCATTCCCTGTTGAAAACTTTCAAAAAGGGCATGGGAAGTCAAAAGAAAAAAAAGGAAAAATGTGACAAAATTGACCAAATGTCACCACTAGAATTCACCATAAAAATTCCCAAAGTGTAACAGAGTTCTTACAAAATTTCCTAGTCCAGTTCTTTTAGGGAATCAATATCTCCTATGAAAAATATGGCAAATGGGAATCAGGGTAGGTTGCGGGGGGGAAACAGAACGAAGAGGGTAAATAAGTGCAGCAAAAAACAGGTTCAGAGGAATACACATAATTTTGTCTGCTTTAGATCACAATAGAATTTTTAATAAATAAATTTCTTTTTCTTAGTAAAGACACTTTTTTGAAACAGTAGATTTAGCCCAGTCATTTGTGTCACTTGTTTTATAAACCATCTTTTGTTGACCCCACCCCCACCCCATAATGTCATAAATGTTTCAGATTTGAGTCTCTTGTACATTGTCTTTTGAGTTCATTCGGATCAATAACGGTTCATGCACTGAACTGTGTATTGAATTTATTGTGTTAACTGTTGTTGTGTGGTTGAAAGGAGACTTATAAGAGTTATAGTGATTTAAGTGCTCATGCTCTATTGCTGGCATGGGCAAGTGACTCTCTATGGGTGTATCACCTGTAAGCTCATCATCCACATTAATAATCTCTACAGTCCGTGTTGGAGCATGATGGTTCTGCCGGTGATGCTGTTTCCTCATTTTGTAGAAAATTACCAGCATCACAGCAGCCATGAGAGTTATAGCCACAAAACAACCAATTATGATCTTGGTAGTCTTCATAACCTCATCTATTCCTGGGATCCCATTGTTTGCGTCCGTCACAGGAATGGTAAATGTTTTCTCTGTTGATCTTGTGCTCTGTGGAGTGAGTGAGGCTGTCATGTTAGTGGTCTCCCAGTTTGTAACTGGTGTGGGCCCAACTTGCTCTGTGGTCTGTGCCTCATCCTGAGAAGGTTCCACAGTCTCTACTGTGACGGTTGAAAAGTATGTGTAACCAGGGTTATCCAGGGCAGTCACATTCAGTGTGGCAGAAGCTGTGGTATTCCCAACAGAGTTACTCACCATGCATGTATACAAACCTGTGTCTTGCACAGTTACCTTTGTAAAATTTAATGTGCCATCGCTGAGCACAGCAATCCGAACTCTGTATGCTCCATGTGTCATAACAGATCCATTTGGAGTGATCCAAGATACAGAGGTCAGGGAGGTTGATGCCCGGCATTTCATCTCTGCAGCCATGCCTTCAGTGACGTTGAGGTCTGCTGGTGGCTCCACTATGACTGGAGCATAGCATGTGAAGTAATTCAGGTCCAGCTCACCAATGTACCTTCCTTTTAAACTGGGAGGTGTGTGGCAACGGGCACAGCATGCAGTATTGGAGGGTGCCTTGTCTTTAATCCACCAGCTGAGCCAAAGGATATCACAGTTACAGTTCCAAGGATTGTGATGCAAGTGGATCCTTTCTAGGCGGAGTGGTGTGAACAGGTCATGAGGCAGTAGTGTTAGATTGTTGTGTGCCAGATTGATTTCTACAAGTGACTGAAGGTTATCGAAAGCATTCCTTTCTATCACTTGAATCTGGGACTGTATCATCCACAATTTCTGAAGATGCATTAACCCTTGGAAAGAACCTGGCCGAATGGCAGTCAGGTGATTCCCAGAAAGATCTAACTCATCCAGTTTTACAAGTGGGGTGAGGTTAGGAATCTCTCGAAGATTACACATGGCAAGGTTCAAATACCTCAAGTTGGACAAACCTTCAAAGGCACCCTCTGAGATGTATGAAAGCCTTTTCAATTCCCCCAAATCCAACCTCCGTAGAGAAGGGATTCTGTTAAAAGCATAAGAAGGGATGCTCTCAATGGGGTTGTTTCTCAACCACAGTTCTTTCAGTTTTGACAGGTATACAAAAGCCCCATTTGGGATAGTAGTCAGACGATTGTCAAAGAGTTCCAAAGTGTTGAGATTGGCCAAACCATTAAAAGCCCCTATTTCAATTGTTCTGATGTGATTCCTGTTGAGCTGCAGGATTTCTAGGTGCCTCAGATGCTTGAAGCTATTAACTTTAATGATTTGGATCTGGTTCTCATGGAGATTGAGTAACCGGGTGTTGGTGGAGATGCCGTCTGGCACGTCTCTCAGATTTTTCCGTACACAAATCACTTTACTGAACTGATTGCTGCAGGAGCAGACAGAAGGACAAGTTTGAGCCCTCACTAGACCAGCCACCACAAGAAGCTGAAGAGCCAACAGCACCACAAGCAGGGGGTCAAATAGGGCCCTGTTAAACCTAGGACCTATCATTATCTGCTGTGGATGTAAGGTCATCTTGTTCAATATTCATAATTTATTTGGTGTTGGTCCTTCTGGAGTTTGAATAGTTTGAATGGCCTGAAAGAAAGAAGGAAGAAGGAGAACATTAAATTAATCTCAAACACTTAATTGTGCTCTCTAAACAAAGACTTCTTAAGTCCTTTCAGTCAACTCTACAAATTTCATGAAACTCTGTACTGAGAATAGCTATAGAAATTCTAATATTTTGCTTCCTGTACAGCTATGTATGTCAGCTGTAATTGGCAATGACATAAGAAAAAGCCAGACACTAACTTTTCCTGCTCATTCCAATGTATAACACAAGTAGCTGGATGGCGGATAACAAGTTCAACCACAGTGGACAGCTAAAAAAATGCTTGAACTAAGGAGGTGAGTTGAAAGAAGTGACAAGGGTCTCAAAAGGCAAAAAAAAGAATAAGACAGAAATCATCAGAATATTCAAGGTGTTAACCTTCTTGACAAACTGCAAGACAAGACAACAGATAATATGAAAATCAAGTGGAGATTCCTCTTTTGTATGGATGAAAATCATGGTCTACACAAATGTGATTCTTGCATCAGAGCTTAACTAGAAGTAAAGCCTTCAATACTGAATGTAGCAGGTCACGTAATGTCAGGGCAAGATCTTGCCTATATCAAATTAAAAAACTAAAATACAAAATAAACATAGTAAGCATCAATCCTTCCCTACCATTAAACACCATCATCTAAATTCATATTTCCTCCTCAATTCTTTTGTTTGGCACCAGCAGCAGAGAAACACTCATTAGTAAATTTGCGCTGAACACAGAAATACGAATAGCCATTTAAGTGCTGAAAAAAATCTCTTTGTAGCTCCAGGGTTGGCAGTTTCATTGGCACATCTAAAAAATCCTACAGATCTTACCATAAGGGGAAAAAAGACCTTTACACTACAAATGATCATTCTCATTTTAAGAATTTCAGTACTGATTAATTTGTGGTAGTTATAAAAGCCCTCAGCTCTCAGTTCATTTTCAATCTGCAGCTCAGTGCAAGGTCCCTCTCCTGAAGAGATTAATGAAATTTCCTATAAATCAGCCAAAACTGAAGTCTTATAAATTACAAAAAGCTTAGAGCATAGTTATAACCTAGAGCACCCAGATGCATAATACACGTATTCAGTAAAGCAAAATACTGTAAGGCAATGGTTTTACGTCCCAGGCTCTAAATTGTTTCATTTTGTGTAAAAAAAAAGCTATTTTAAAAAAAATACAGGAAAAAAGACATTAACTTGCATCTCACAGAAATTCATTTATTTAAAGATTTTTTTCTTGTTTTATATTCAATTTTTTGAAAAATCATTTCTGCATTTTTTTTTTAAATATAATAGTTCAGAACCAGCAAGTGTTCTCATCTTGCTTTTAATAATTTACTGCAGAGAAAGCCACTATAATGGTTAAAAACTTGCAAATGGGAATTGGAAAGTCTATGCTGTATCTGTTTGTTTGATCTGCTCTGTAAGTGCTATTTATAAAACATCATTCTTGTTATGAAAGATTCATGAAACTAATGTGTTTTGCAACCTTGAGCGAGTCACTTAAGTTTTTTCTCTGTGGCTTACACGTCTGTCATACGACTCTAGAGAACCCTGTGGCTGTAGTGTTACATGTTACTGCTCCCACCTCTCCATACCTTCTTTCTGCAACGATTGTACTTCTGAACATCAGCTTCATAGGTTTAGGATGATGTGCTAGGTAACATGAAGGGTGGCTTCTGTACACACCTTCTTTTTTACTGTAGACTTAAAAGGTCACTTATCTCTTCAGAGATGCTGAACACAATATAAGGAGAAACACTCTCAAACTAATCAATAAAATTCAAGTTCCCTTACATCAAAAATCCAACTGTAGTAAAATAATCTACAAAAAGGGAGTGAAAAGGACCTGGTTCCCACCTTTCTTACAGTGTCATAAAGAAAAATCTGTCCATTGTGGTCAAAAGTATCATACCAAGGAGTCTAATATCAATTTCAGGCTCCTTATTTAAGATCTGTGATCCATGAATTTTGCTGTTGAATCATAATTAACCATCTTCTGTGATAGTTAATGTGATTGTATTAGCATTTTTTTTGTCACTAGGTTTTTTATTACTATTCAGTAGATTTATCTTTAATTTTCTTTCTTATTTTTAAAAAAATCCTTCAAAAACTTAACCCCTAAGGACTTGGACTGAATAATGAATCCCGTTTACAAGTAATAAAACAGATACAGAAACACATCAAACCAATTATTTTACCATTGCACTGCTGCAATGTTATTGTCTTCACTGGAACTGAGATGAGAACTCAGCCTGGTACGTCCAGCTTCAGAGCTGCCAATTGTCACTGTATGGCTGGTATGCCACTGGGAACACGTGTGGCTTGTAGAGAATGTAGCAATCTATCTCGGACTTATTCAGTATTAAAGGCCAGGTTTGCAAGATGCCATATGGTTTCTCTACTTTTTGCTACTTTCTGCTCTCATTCATGTATCCTGGATATCCTGAAGGACCAGGAAAACTATGGGATTTGTAGAGCAAGAAAGTGTAGGAAAAATAAGACAGGTCATGAGAGACCTCAACATCGGCCAGTGTATGCATAAAATCCCTTCAGTTTCTTCTTTACCAGCCTCCGCAAAGTTATGTCAAACCATGCTACAAACACTACAAGGCCCTTCTCTCCTGTCTGAGACCTCAACATCGGCCAGTGTATGCATAAAATCCCTTCAGTTTCTTCTTTACCAGCCTCCGCAAAGTTGATTATGTCAAACCATGCTACAAACACTAAAAGGCCCTTCGCTCCTGTCTCGACTTCTTGCACCTGATGATATCTCCCAGCATTACCTTCACCTACTCCTTTATCCAGCAAATCATCCCTTTCCATCACTACAAATATGCTCCATGAGTAAAAGAAGATTAAAAAATTTACTTGAATACAGTAGTTCATTACAACTAATACATTACCCAGTTCTGAGACTGATTACCAAAAATTGTTAAACCCAAACCAAAATGTTTCCATGTCTCAGTAGCAAAATGATTTTTAAAAGAAATGCTTTTATCTTCCTAAAATAATTCTCCTATATTCCTCCCATTTTTTGTTATTGACTCAAACAATGAATTAGTCACATAGAACAGCTCTTCCCTTGTGCTAAAGGCCAAAATTGCCTGTGACTTTTATGTGCAAGCAGTCTCTCAATCAAACATATGCCTCAGAACTACGATCTGTCAAAGACCCTCAGGGAATTCTACAACCCTCAGGTTCCTGTAAAATTCAGATCTGTGTATTTCATATACAAGCTTTGTCACTGACTACTTATAGCTGCTCTGAGTGTATAATTTTGAAGACAGGTTCACCATTTTGTGAGATGTGTGTGGAAAGTTCTAGATAGGTTTTCATAAGTGTTGGTGTGTTTGATTTTTCTGTGTCTAAACTGTATTTTGTTTAATATATAAGTACAGAAGATCTATCGTGCCATTCCTCTGGAATGTTTTCTGGAAGGCAGTGAGTACTAATCTTAGTTTTTGTAGCCACCGTTTGATTTAACTCCGGGTTTGTTTACATTACTAATTTTCTTCCCTCTGCTTGGTAATGCAGGAAGCAAAATGCAGTATTTGGCATAAGACCACAGTAACTGGGCCTGGTGCTGCTAAAGTACAGGGGAGCTGATGATTCAAAAAGCCACCATGACCAGCAGAAACTGTGCTAGGCAATGCCTTGTAAGTCCTCACTTCCAACCAGTGAACTTTGCAGGAGGTTAACATATTGCAGTGAGATTCCAAGTGGAAGTAGGAATGTATTTAAAACATCCTTTCTCTTATACGGGTGATTTCCCACAGTTCAGAGCTTAAGTATCCAGGAAGTCTTGGTGCAGTCCTTTCATATCATGGTAATTTTATATCATAAATTTCCTGGAAATACCATGGAAAAAAACTAGCCAGCCCAAAAACACAGTGGAAAATTCATTTAAAGCCTTGAAGAACATTATGGAAATATTTTAATGGCCTTTATGTAAAGATACATTTGGAACTCTGTACTGGAGTAATTTGATATTCGATATCTGTTTATTACGCTAGAGACACACAAAGGTTTAGCTTTATAAATCCACAAATGGAACACAGATCATCAACCAGCTTCTTTAGTCTCCATTGACAATTCTTTGTCTTCTAAATGATTTTTTTTCTTCGTTTTTCTAGTACCAAAATATCAACGCTATGGTCAATTCAGTAACACTAGTGCCCTCTGCTGTACAGATTTAAAATGTAGCTTAAAATACTAAGAATTTCATTACTGTACAGTGAGTTCCCCAGACACCATACAATTATTAAATGTTTTTCTGAACATGACCTTAAGTTTGTCTGTGACATTGCTTTAATTATCAAAGCATATCTGTCATTTGTCATTTTAGTACAGTCTCTTTATGGCCATGGAGACATACATACATATACATATACATATACATATACATATACATATACATATACATATACATATACATATACATATACATATACATATACATATACATATACACATCTAGTCATTTGTTTCTATTTCCATAGAACTCAAAAAATCTTTTTTCAAATTGACATTTGATATGCATGTTCTCCTTTCTATAGCTTATCTGATAATTAATCTATATGTACTACGTGTTTTCCTTTGAGCAAAAAGCATTGCCATCTTAAGATCCAATGCAGAAGATGAAGCAAGGAATGACAAAGCTAATCTACCTCTGCAGTTATGCACAGTGCAGCTTTCCTTAGGGACAGCTCGAAGGATACAGTAGTTACGTTATTGAAAGGTAACTTTGCCAAATGTGTATGCCAAGATGTCTTCCTTATGGGCATCGTAATGGAACCTGCAATTCACTTTTCTATTTATCTGTAATTAGCTTTTAGGCCTGATGTGCTTTGATCTCTGTTATTTTAGCAGAAGAAAGTGATTATATTTATGAAGGATTTTTCCCTATAATAGTGAACTTTGATTACAAAAGAAAACTCCTACACCATTCCCAAAGATCTGCCTAATGAGGTAGGGCAGGTGGCAAAGATATTTTCCCAAGCT